CCGCACTCCGCACAGAAAGCCTGAAGGAGATGCTCTCCGCCACGCAAAAGCTACCAGCACCCTCGAATAAAGTAGGGTTAACACCAAAAGATAACACAGAGAGACCTGGAAACAGACCTAGAGCTCCAGCTGCCGGCACGCCACCTCGCGTGGGGACCATATTAGGTCAAGTCTCCATACCTCCTACCCGGCCCCAGGGGACGTCAAGCGTATGGCCAAAGACATCGACCGCTAAAGCCTCTACGAAACCCATTCCAAACACCTTACACACCGTGACTGAGAAACAACCAGTGGAATTACTCAAACCCATTGGGAAGTCAAGCGTGCCACCCACAACGAACCCAGGTCACAGGAGGACCAACTCGATCATTTTGTTCAACGTCGATGTATCGACAGACTCATTGTTGGTCGAGAGGGAACGGTTTGACAGCCGAATGTGGACCGACTACTGTCAGATGCTAGGACTCCCTCCCCTCCCTGCAACTTTATGTCGCCTTTCTCGAGGAAGCCGTGCACCCCGAGATAAGCCACCCCCTTTACGTGTGTCCCTAAATACTACCAAAGAGGCTGAAGACACACTCCTCCTCTCGCGACAACCGGACGTTGTTAATGCCTGTAAAATTCGGGCCAGGCCTGACAAGCCATGGTCAATAAGAGAGGAGGAGAGAAAGTCAGCGGTTGGAAATCCCAACAGAAACAACACTATAGTTGTACATGGGATTCCAGAATTGCCAAGTGACCGCTCGGTCAAAGATCGGTACTTTCATGACGTCCAACAATGGCAATGGCTCTCAACCAAAGTTGGTCTCAACAGTATACCGGCCAACAGCGTCAGTAGACTGCCAAGGCCAGCGCACCTGAAGACCATACCCAATCCCAGACTACTCGCCGTCCAGTTCGACTCATATGCCTCCCTCACAGACGTTCTACAGGCATGGTATAATGCGAAGGATCGCATGGGTGGCTCAATACGTATATGTGAAAGTAAGCCTAGACCCACAAGGCAAGAGGAGAGACGACAACCACCAAGACCCTGGAGTCAGTGGTCGTCACACAGGCGCTGACCAGTGAGTTAGATACATCAAGTAAAGAAGCCACCACTGCCACAGCCCCCACCCAAGTTAATAACAAAACACCAAAAAACGGAACAATGCCAGTCCTATGAGGACTGGCGAGGGTAGACCCAACCACATAAGCTGTCATCCTGCGAAAATACACAACCAGACCTCCCCCTCACCAGGCACACTCTAATATGTATGTACAGCAACGTTAGGGGGCTAAGAGGGAAGGTAGCAGAAATGAGGACGCTGCGTGCACATCAGCACTCCGACATCATATTCATCACCGAATCCTGGCTCTCGCCAGACATCTCCGACGAAGAGATGCATGTTACTGGCATGGAACTCTTCCGCAGGGACAGGGAACATAGAGCAGGAGGAGGAGTGGCTATCTACGTAAACTCTTGTTTAAAGGCAAGGATGGTTAGCGATACGGCCTTAACCCAGGTCCCAGAGTCCCTATGGTGCTACTTCACTCTCCACAGTACCAAATACCTGCTCGGAGTCATATATCGGTCCCCCACCTGCTCCCCTACACATAAGGAAATGATCATCAAGGCTATCTTAACGACTTCCTCTGCAAATTACGATTCCGTAGTCATTGCCGGCGACTTCAACACCCCGTCCATCCTCTTCGAGACGGAAGGGAGACGCATCAGATCCTTCAATCAGAAGCTGAAGGATGCAATTAAGACTGCTGGCCTCTCAGAGAAAGTGGGTGATGCTACACGCTGGGGACCTAACGGAAACGCATCGCGCCTTGACTACGTTCTGACGAACGATGAACTTCTCATTGAGGATGTTTGCATCCAACCTCCCCTTGGCCTCAGTGACCACGCTGTAATCACCTTCTCCATGATAACTAGGGAGGCTCTGCAACTGGAGACGCCCAACACCTTCCCTTGCTACAGCAAGGCCAACTATGAGACCATGAGGGACTACCTCATGAATGCATCATGGCCAGTGGACTGGACTCATCTCACAATAGATGAACACTGGTTGGAGGTGAAGAAAATAATCACTGGGGCCATCAGTCACAGTGTACCAGAAGTAACACACAGACAATCAATGAGAACCTCATGGTTAAAGCGTGGGACAGAGAGGCTTATCCGGAGCAAGAAGCAGGCTTGGTTCAAGTGGCTTACATCACGCAGGGAGTCTGACTTCTTGAACTATAAAAGGATTCGCAATCTCTGTAACATTAGAGTGCGTAACGACAGATTTTCCTACCAAACAAACTTGGCAGCGAGGTTACAAAGCAACCCCAAAAACCTGTACCGCTTCATGTCAAGAAGAAAGTCGACCAGTAAGGGAGTGAATCTTGTCACAGGCCATGACGGGAGTGTGCTAAGCAGTCTAGAGATTGCCGAGCTTTTGAGCTCACACTTCCAAGCCCAACTCAGCACTGACACAAGATCCACACCGACTCGCCACGACACCGACCAGGTCGCAAATAACGAATACCTCTGTCACGTCTCTATTACAGAGAAAAAGGTGTTCGAGAAGCTATCTAGGCTACGTCCGGGCAAGTCCCCTGGCTGCGATAATCTGAAACCAGTGGTTCTGAAAAACTGCGCCGAGGTGCTTACCAAACCACTTCGCAACCTCTTTGAGCACTCAATAGACTCGTGCAAACTCCCTAAAGAATGGAAGAGTGCCATCTTGTCACCCATCTTCAAGGGAGGAGACAGAAAAAACCCTGGCAGCTACAGGCCGATTGCCCTACTCCCTATTGTGTCGAAAGTGTTGGAAAGCCTGGTAGCTGACACCATCTGGGAATTCCTCAATAGAGAAAACACTGTCCACACTGCTCAGCACGGCTTTCGTAGTGGTCGCTCATGTGCCACCAACTTACTAACTGCCTGGGACGACTGGACACAAAGCTGGGATAATAGAAAACCTGTACATGCTGTATTTCTCGACCTAGCCAAAGCATTTGACAGTGTCCCACCCACAGTACTGCTTCACAAGATCATGTCAGCTGGTATAAGTGGACCCCTACTCTCTTGGTTCAAGGAGTACCTGGAAGGGAGGCAGTTCTGCACTAAAGTGAACAGAATAAGGTCGGAGTGGAGACCGTCGACGTCAGGAGTATCCCAAGGAGCAATCCTAGGACCGCTTCTGTTCCTCCTCTTTGTCAACGATCTGCCAGACAAAATATCCTCACCCATCCTCCTCTTCGCTGACGACATAAAAATTTGGAGGGTGGTAAACGAAGAAGCCGACTGTGCAGCACTACAAAAGGACTTGCAGCAACTCGAGCTCTGGTCGTCGGAAAATGGTCTGAGCTTCAACTGGAAAAGTGCAAAGTAATGCACATCAGTAAAAATGAGGCAAGTACGACCGACTTCCAGTACATGTTGAGCAACCGTGCTATCACCAGAGTGTCCATGGAGAAAGATTTGGGGCTCAACTTCTCCGACACCTTGGACACCAGCTCCAACTACAAAGGTATGACAACCAGAGCGAACGCCATTCTACACTTTCTGCGTAGACAGCTTGGCGCCCTCACTCCCGAACTCTTCCTCACCATTTTCAAATCCTACGTGCGGCCGCACCTAGAGGTCTTCAATACGGTGGCTCCTCCAACACTCAAGAGAGACTCTAATCTCCTTGAAAGAATACAAAGAACTGCAACAAAATCAGTTGTGGGGCTAAGGGGAAAGACGTATCCTGAAAGACTTAAACACCTCAACCTATTTACCTTGGGTTATCGCAGGAAAAGGGGTGACCTCATTATGGCATACAAGATCGCCCATCAGGCAGACCATGCAAACAAATCAATTTTGCCTGCAACTGAACGATCTTCACGAGGAAACCCCATTAAGATAGCACACCAGAGAGCCAACACCACACTCAGGTCCAAATTTTTCTCCCTGAGAGTATGTGCTTTATGGAATGCCTTACCGCGACACATCGTTATAGCTCCTTCAATCGACTCTTTCAAGAGGCGATTAGACAGTTATGTCACCTCGCATGGACTACCACGGACGTACTCAGGTAGTCACCAACCTCAGTACCCCCAACTCCCTCCTAACTACCACTCACTATCTCTCTCCTTAATACACCCACATTACCTACTAATTCTTCTGTAGGAACCAAACCCACGCGACCATTCGGGCAATTCCCAAATACTTTTCTTTCGTTCTCATTTCTCTCTTCACCCCTTCTTTTCTTCTCCTTCCCTTTCCTCTTCCCTACATTATTATTACTATTATTATTATTATTTTTTTTATTTTTATTTTTTTTATTTTATTTTATTTATTTATTTATTTTTTTACTCTTCCTTATTTCTCTCTTCATTCCTTTACCACTACCTTAATATTCTCTTTCAGGTACCTACACAGACAGGAGTCACGGTTGTTCTCTAAACTTCCCAGCAGCCCGTAGCTCCCTAATCACTCTACAAATTACAACCTACTAACCCACAAAACATCCACCTCACCGAAGCTAAAAGCAAGAAAGCAGAGGGGATTTCCTCGTCCACTGCAGGAGTGAACCGAACAACTGGAACCAAGCCCTAAGAACTAGACGCGAGAGATCAAAAACTACTAGTTTTCTACGCTCGCACTATCAATATTGGATATTGGATATTGGATATCCCCAACCCTCTCTAGCGACCAGTCCTAACAACTGTCTGGCAACTCAACATCTGAAGAAGACAACTGCACCACAGTCCAAGGCAAACAAACCAACACCTAACTTCCTGTTCCGTAAATCAGAGCTATAGCAGACGAGTGGCTGAACCTACTGCATCGGAATCCGTCAAAGATCTGGAGCTGTACCGCAAGACCAAGAAGCGAGAGCGAAGAAATCAACTGGTTTACGCGAGCTCGTTAAAAAGATATTGGATATTGGTAAGCGAACTAGACGCTAGAGATCAAAAACTACCAGTTTTCTACTCTCGCACTATTAATATTGGAAATTGGATATTGGAAAGCGAAATCTTCAAACGCTTGTCAAGGTCATGGGTACCTTCGATCTGCACTGTCCTAGTCTCTCAGTTATTTCGGAAGGTAAGCTACGAGACTAATTAGTCACTATCTTTAGTTCTTAGGGACCACTTAAAAAGCTGTTTTGAAAATGTGCAATGTTCAATCATTGATTCTCCGGACCTCACAAGCTCACCCTACAACCTAACGCTGAAAGGTAATAATTTAATTTACTTTGATGTTTTCCAAGGATTGAATGGTAAGGCAACCATCTGTGATGTAGGAAGCTTTGATTACCTTTTACCAGTACCAAAGAAGGATAGGGTATGAGGTTTCATCTGACTAATTGGTGAAGCATTACGACCTTTTAGACATATTTAGAAGTGCTGGTATGACTTCTGGGGCGGCAATCGGCGCTGGTGCTGGGCCTTTTTTTCTCACTGGATATAATTCTGAGGTAATGTTGGTTATCACCTGTTTGCTATAGTGTTTTCGATAGTAGTTTTCTGGGTTTCGTAACTATTTAAAATGTCGGGAGTTCAGAGTAATGCAAGCCATGGAGATACGGTCCCAAACAGATTGTTTTGGAGAAAAAAGGGGGAATCTTAGGAAATATGCATAGTTCCACATGCTTTGACAGGACCTTTGGCAAACATACACACTGGGGAAGTGGGAATTAGTTGTAGCGTTTGCGCAAAATTCTTCCCTTAATTCCCCCTTAAGTGGTGTGTTTAGGGGTTGGAGATTTTAAGATTTTTCGCATGTGAAGCTGCTTAAACGAGACTAAAGATCAAACTGTCATATTTGCTTCAGCAGAATCCCAGGTGTTGCAGATATTGTAACGAGTTCATATAAGTTTCCTATCATAAGAACCAAAAGAGATTGAGATACGCTAACTGAAATACTTGTGGAAGACTGAAAATCGCTTCTCAGCCATTGTGATAGGTGTGTAAGCAATATGATTTATAATAGCTACCTGTTGAAAGTTGGGTGTTGGGAGTCGCACCATTACATTAGGAACTTTTTTCCTAAGGCTCAAAATTCCCCAGGCCATGGCTGTATTAGTTGAGAGATGAGCCGCAGCCTGGTAGTGCCAGTGGTGCGTCGTATAAAAAGATAATTATCTTCATCTCATTCGTTAACATTTCATCATGCGCTTTAACTCCTACTTTCAGTGTATGGCTTTCTACAGCGTTTTTTATTTTTATTTCTGTGACTTTCATTTCACTACCTTGTGGTTTATTCTGGTCATGTGAAGTGTCAGCTTAGACAGTTATGTGCTAATGCTAGTTCTCACGTTCATATTGGCTGGTCGGATGGTTCCAGGTACTAAGCGATCTTCACACCTACCCATTTAAACGCAACTTTAGGTGTACATTGGAACGTCTTTCAGATATCAAAACTTTCCGAATCCTTTTCAATATAAAAGCAATAGTTAAGTTTCATATTGCTTGCACTTCGCATAGTGTAGAACCTAGTGACTTCAGCGATGCTGATTTCAGATTTAGGATATTGAGTCAAAGAGTTATCAGTTGATGGTCTTGCAGAACCTTATTGGTTAGTTGATTAGGGGAGCATTACATATTAAACCACCACTTACCTCAAAATGTTAGCTAGCGTAGAATCATAGTGAAGAAAGCTTCGTAGTGATGAAAGTAACATCAGTCAATTCTGTGGATTCGCCGACAGATAAACCGAAGAAAGTAAAGCCCCTCAGAAGGCCCTTGGTTTAAATTGTTACGAACCAGGCCAACGAAATCAAGGATTTAAAAGCAAAATGTTATCAGCAGCCACCTTAAGAATGAGAAATTTAGCTATTGATTCCGACGTGACTACTGAAACAAGTGACTGGACTAAAATCATTCGCACTGATGTGTTCATAGCATGTCTTTCTATGCGTTTTCATTGTTTCATTCTTCTGTATACGTGTGCACTACCTGAGGTGCTTTCGTTTCCTTATCATTTCCTTCAACCAGTGACATCATTGTTTCGTTCCTTTATTTTTCCCCTTGTTTTTTTCCCCTACACTGAGTTCATCCAGCAACTTAGAGCTGACTAGCTTGTTGCGTTTCTTCATATCATGGGTTTGAATGGTGGAGTGAAAAGGTTGTCTACAGTGTTTGAGGTATTAACCCAAGCATTATAAGAAACCAAATACTCGGTTAGGGTCCACACGACAACAGAAGCCAGTGGTTAGAGACTTGGGTTGATATGGCTCAGAATCGATGTCACTGGCGCAAATGTATCCACGCCTTTGTCTTGACTGCTGTACTGAATTCAGTACTCTTCCTCTCTTTTGCTGACTTATGTTGCTTTTGACTGACTTCCATCATTCTTCTTTTTTCATCTTACTACTTTGTTACTTATCGTGTTGATATGAAATGTGGCAACATGGACTGTTGTAGAGTAATTCCTGGTCGTATATTGTTTTTGATGATAATGAATTACTTTTTGCCAGTAGGTTCATAAAAAATTTCAAAAAGACCAACATAATCAGTTGTAACTATTATGAATGTAGGGATTAGAATGAAATTTAAATTTTCAAGCGCATAAAGTATTGCGGATTACTAGCTCGACAAAAATTCATTTTGCTTTCGGCAGCCCATTAACCATTTCAAAGCGGAAACCACTCATAGTAGTTATTGTCTATGCAGTTCTTCTAACATTACCAACTTTTTCTGACTTCATTTTGCAACACAAATAATTATTTTACAGATGGTCATAAATATTTCTTCTGAGAATGAGGCAGTTGCAAGGAATGGCTCATTATTCGGGTCGTATGACGAAGTGGTCAGTCTTTTGCTCATTTATTTATTAATTTACTTAACCAACCTTTGTTTTGTTTTGTTATGATATGATTTTTTAAAATCTTAAATAATTGTGAGATAAGTTGTGGTTTTGCTTGTCCATTGCTGTTCCGTCTGATTCCTATATCTATAGAAATTTTCTTACAGCTTTTAGAGTTAGGAAAGGAATGTGTAGTAGGAGCTTCATATTTCACTCAACTGAAGGTTCAAAGATTTATCTTACAGAAAGATTACTTATGAACATTCACACATAGGTGAGCTGATTGTATAAGAAAAACAGCATGTTCGTTCATACAATGAATCAAATCTACTTAGTAAAAGTTGGGATTTCGCATAAATAAAAAAGGATTTCACTCAAAAGACTAGATAGTCAAGTACGAAGAGTAAACTACTAGGCAGCTAGCGCTTAAGACGTTCATCAGTCTCGTCGTTTTGAACTAAAATCCTTTTCCAGGGGTTTGGTAGCTTTTCTTTCTGTTTATTAAAGTTTAGGATCAGCGTACTTGTTGATATACTTGATTGAATTGCAGGTATCTGCCTTATACAAAGATAGCCGGAGGATTTATATCAAACAGCAATTTATCTGTTGAGGAAACGAATTCAAGGTCAAAGCAAAAGACCAGGTCTGTGTAAGGTTAATAAAACTAAAAACTAAAAGAGATTATTTGGCTTGGAACCGATGACTGTTATCTAATTTGGAGCAACCTAGCGATAATGTCGCATACGAGAGTTTTCTATCATATGAGTGGTTGGTACGATACTTAGTAGGTAATTTTGCATTGTACGGACTATGGTTTTCGTCGTGAAAATGCATGAAATACATACAACGATTTCCTGAGCTCGGCTTGGTTCAGTTTGGTAACAACTCGAGAAAATGGTGAAGTTTTCTATATATCCTTACATCTGACTTTACAACATACCTCAGCAACAGTAATGGACACTAGGGCTGAAAAAGCTGCTGAAGATTTCGTCGTCTCACTAAAGTTGGACTTCTCTTAGGCTGTATACTTATTGGTAATGGATCACTTGCTAGGGTGACGCCGAATTTATTTTCGATTATTTATTCAGTCGTAATGAGATGAGAAGTACTGATGTCATTGTCATCAACACTAAAAGAGTTATCTGGACACTTCTAGACATATGCAATTACAATAGGCGTGTGTATTACCTAAGGAATGGCGAGAATGTATAGAGACTTATTTTTGGTACCAAATTTTGTTTTGTAAAACCACCCCATCGACTATGACTTATTGTCCTAAAACAAAAGAAGTATGTCGTTGACAGTGATGGGTGTATGCATTGTTTGCTCAGAAAAGATGAATTAATTAAATCCAGGTTGTCCGTTACTTTATGGGTAGTCGGTAGGTTCGTCAGTCACTAAGTATCTGAGCGTTCCTTGTAAAAAAATACTATAAAATACATTATCACTTATATCACTTGGTGATTCTGTTATAATAAATTTCATACACATTGTTAATGGAACTCAACCTGTTGTAGGTGTTTATTTATTAGATGATAGGCTTCATTAACTGTCTTTAGGCTTACGATATTACGCGGTTTCCTAGGGTGTAGTAAGTGGAGCGTGGTTCGAACTTGAGACTCATCGGTTAAAAATCGAGTGTTCAAACCTATTACTCACATCAGATTAGTGAAGCGTCGTGCCATCAGTTCGTCTATAAATGTCTGGTTGTTGACTGACAGTTTTGCGTCTCTCGGGAATTATTCACAACGTTTATGCAACCACATCAGTAGTTTCATATGCAGTTTTGAGGTCTATTCCACTGGGGTGTTTATGATTTCTAAACGCATTGAGCAGAAATCTGAGTATGTTTGGCATACATATCGTACCTGTCAATTGTAGGATGATGCTCCATGACTGGTCTACTGCAAGTTGGATGATAGGGAATGAAGTGGTGGGATGTGTTGATCACTTCGCTTACTTGGGGAGTTGCACCAGCCCGAACGGTGTGGTTATTGACGAAATCTCAGCTGGGATACAGAGTACTCGTTTGGCATTTACCAACTTAGGTCATCTGCAGCAACGTCTGCCGAGATATCCCACTATCTGTCAGAGCACGAGTTTTCTACACTGTTCTGTCCTGTTATATACCCGAGGAATGACCATCAAAAGTAGAAGACATGAAGCGATTACAGGGTTTTGATCACAGATGTCTTTGTAGCATCGCTCACATTTTGTGTAATCACCGTTTCAGCAATGTTAAAGTCAGGCGAAGAGTACTCGGCAAGATGGGAAAATCGATTGATGAGGTTGTAAACCTTCATCGATTTAGATGGTTTGAATACGTACTGTGTATGCTGAGCCACCTCTTACCTCAAAAGGCAATGGTAGGGGTAGCTGGATTAGGTTGGGAGAGGTCTCAGGGTGGCCAGACCAAGACCTGGCACCAGTCCCTGACGTCTTACTATTGATTTGAGTTGTATGAGGCTATGTGGACTGCCTGGTTGATGTTCCCAAGACGGTAGAAATCAGTGGTTTAGGACTTTCTCGGTGACATAGCTGAAAGTCAGTCACAGTTGTGCATATGTATTCACTCCTTGACATCTTCTAAAGCTTGAACATTCTCACCAATCTTTATCTTCTGATTGTTTATTCTGTCACACAACTTTGTCTTCTTTGATATCACTATTTTCCTATCCACCTATTCTTTGTGTACTACTGTTGTGTGACGAATTGAGGTGATGCACTTGTGTACGAGGTTCTACGCTGTTTTTGTAGGGTTAATTGAATAGGGGATTAAAACGAATGACCACTAATGACACTTAGAGGTTTCTGCAAATTGGAAGTATGGAGTTTTGAATTCTAACCTACTGACTCAATAGTAGAGGCCTCCCAGTACTAGTAGAAAGCAGTAGGTAACCTGAAACGAGGAAGGGCGGCAGGTCTAGACGGACTAACTCCAAAGGTATACAAGGATGGTGGTAGAGTGCTCTTAGTCAGGTTAACGGAAGTGTTAACCAGTATATGGGAATCGAATACGATCCCGTCTGACTGGTCTAAATCACTGATTATTCCAGTGTTCAAGAAAGACGAGAATTCCTCTTGTGATGACCACAGAGGAATCAGCCTGACAAACATAGTGTCCAAGATCCTAGGTTCTATAATTCTCCGACGCCTGAGTGGAGCTCGGGAACACTGAGCCCGAGAAAACCAGGTAGGATTTAGAGCTGGCTGCGGGTGTGTCGACCAAATATTCACACTGCGCCAGGTTCTGGAACATAGGCACGTTTACTGACGGCCAACACTAGCTGTTTTTCCCGACCTGAAGGAGGCATTCAACTCCGTTGATCGAGAAGTCTTATGACAATGTCTTACTGAAAGGGGTGCCGAGTAAGTACATCATTTTATTGAAGGCTGTCTACTCGAACATGTGGGCGTGTTAAAGGATATAGTGAGATGTCCAGGGAGATATGCTCATCTAGTGGTGCTCGTCAAGGGCGCCCACTCTCTCCATTCTTATTCAATTTTACCATAGATATTCTCATGGAGGTCTTCCTCTCGTCACCTGTCTACACAGAGGTTGACCTAATTACAGGAGAATTTTCGTTAGACGTAGAATGTGCAGATGACATAGTCCTGTTAGGTGAAGACGCTGACAAGATGCAGAGTCTTCTGGAGACTTTGAGTGGCAATTTGAGAATGTTTGGGATATGTTTCTCACCACCCAAACGCAAATTTTTGCTCCTGGATTGGTCTTCAACGGTTCCACAGCAAACAATGGAGAGTGTAGAGGTTGAGGGTGCCGACCACTTTAATTACCTGGGAAGTAGGATCAGCCCTGGTAAGTTAGTTGCCGATGAAATCTCTGCACGGATACAAAAGGCTCGGCTGGCTTTTGCCAGTTTACGCCACCTGTGGCGCCGCCGTGATATTCGTTTGTCTACTAAGGGTCGCGTGTACTGCACAACAGTCCGGTCTGTTCTGCTGTATGGCTGTGAAACATGGCAATTGTAGGTGGAAGACATGAGAAGGGTTCAGGTGTTTGACCACCGTTGCCACTTGGTTAACGCAGAAGTCAGGTGTAGAGTTTTAGGGAAGGAGAAGAGGTAAATCAGTTGACGAGGTTATGAACCTTCATCAACTGAGATGGCTGGGACACATATTACGTATGCCTAGTTGTCGTCTGCCTCGTCACACAATGTTGGCCGAAGTTGGTCCAGGCTGGAAAAGGCCCGAGGTGGCCAGACTAAAACATGGCACCAATATATGAAGTGTTTGACTGTTGGTTTGAGCCATGTAGGGCGATGCAGACTAGGTGGTTGGGGTCCGCGGGACAAAAGAAACCAGTGGTTGGAGACTCTAGGTGATATGGGTGAGAACCGATGTCAGTGGGACACATGTATCCCTACACACATTATCCTCATCTTAACGACGCTATACCGAGTCTCACTATTTTCTCAATCTTCCTTTCCCTCTCTTTTCGTACTTTATATTTCTTTTGACTGAATTTTCTTATTTTCATCTTCCACTTCACTGCCTTTTTACTTGATGTAGTGATATGAGGTGTGGCAACTTGGGTCGTTACGCAGTAATGCCTTGTTTTATGTTGATATTGATGATGACGATGAGTGGCCTTGGTCCCGCATGGGTTCATGCGTGTTCCAAATGCGAAATGAAATGAAAGGGCTTTTTAGTGCTTTTTGGTCCTTCAGTTTTTGTTGTCAGTATGTTGTGTAAATTATGCCGACAAGAATAAGTAAGCCCTGCAACTATTTGTTACTAGATCCCGAAAGTTATTCACCTTTTGATCAGCTGATGATTTTGTTTACAGTTCGTGCTATTGAAACAAAATATCCTTTATTTATGAATTTCACTTTAATAGAAATATCTGGTATGTTTTACTTTTTACTGTTTTTGTTACAGAACAACAAACCCCTGTTAACGAAAGCTGATAATACTAAATTTGCTTTGTTGGGCCAGATGTTTTTATGTGAGGGTAAGCCTGGACCGGTGAGTGTAACACAATGTGTACATACTTTAAAGTACTTTTTTATTGTTTTATTTAGTGAACTTATGATTCTGAAGCAATTAATACATCATATTTCATGCATTGGTGCCTATCTTTCTTTTATGTATCAGTAGATGATTCTAAGTCAGTGACACTGTGTCCTTTTGTGAAAGCAATAAGTTTATTGCTAAAGTCCAAGTTTGTCACTGTATTTTGTGTTTCTCATTGATGATAGTTTAGATTCACATCGTTGCGAATTTGTAGCGTATAGCGTTTTATCTTCGCTGGACGTCAAATCTGAACAATTTGTTTCTTTATCATCTACAGCAAGGTTATTATTATTTGTCCCTTGGATTCCTAGTGGAACAAGGGCTTCAGTAGCACGTCTCCATTCTACTCTCTTCTCTGCAGTCTTTTCAACCTGGCTCCACGACTGCCCAGGGGCTTCCATTTCTTCCTCACATGATCCCGTCCATGTCACCCTCGCTCAGACGCTCAACTGGGCGTTTCCCATCTGGGTTCCACTCGAGCCACTGGCCTGGGGCGTAATGTCCCCAGTCGACCTTCTCGGTGTACGCACAATCCATCTCCACTTTCTTCTGCATATTTGTTGGGTGATAGCTTCTTCGTTGGTTCGTTCCCAGAGTGCGTTCTTTGTTGCTTATTCTTCCTGGCCATCTGATCTTCAGTATCGAGTGAGCGTAGGTGGCAGTTGTTGATGCATGTCTGTAGTTTTTTGGAAGTGCTTTTCGTGACGCGCCGAGTTTCTGAACCATATAGGAGCACTGACTTGACTTAATTGGTGTTGAAAATCCGGATCTTGTTCCACATGATGAGTACAGTAGAGATCTCCACAGTAATTTCAGATTAGTGGAAGCCTGTCTTGCTTTTCCGATCCTGGCTGGCTTTGACATCCTCGCCTGTGCCACCTGTAGTTGAAACGATACTACCTAAGTAGGTGAAAGAGACTACTTCCTTTTGGTTTTTCCCATTGATGATGACTGGTGCGTGTTGTTGGTTGGGTATCTTCATCATCTGTGTCCATTTTACGTTCTCTTGAAGTCCCGTTTTCTCTGCCTCTTCTGTCATTTTGTTAGTTTTCGCTTGTAGGTCTTCGAATTTGTGTGACATAAGACATAAATCATCGGCGAAATGCAAATCTTCGAGGGTCTTTTCATCGGTCCAGTCAGCGTATGCCCATCTTCTAACAGCTCCTCACAGTTTGTTGCATGATCCAGTCGACCGCAATCAGGAAAATCATCGGCGATAGTAGGCAGCCTTGTCTAACTCCTGTCTTCACTTCAAAGACATCACTGAGCTTTCCATTGTCAATCACTTGACATGTGGCGTCTGTTGAATGATACCTTCCTGAAAGTTTTTAATCTGTGATATCGAAGGTTATATAGTTGGGCAGTTTTAAGCCGTAAGTAACGTCCGTGACCCAGACGTCAGTGAGAAGAGGAAGATGAGTTGATAAGGTCGTGAACCTTCATCGATTTGGATGGTTAGATGTGTTACGAATGCCTAGTCACCGTCTACATCGTCGTGCAATGTTTGGTGAAGTAGGTTCAGTGTTGTGGCAGCCAAATTAAGACATGACATTATCGCATAAAGTCATTGACTGTTGGTTTGACCCCTGCAAGGAGATGCAGACTAGCCGGTTGAAGTCCACACGACAAAGAAGCCAGTGGTTGGGAACTTTGGTTGATTTTGCTCAGAATCGATATCACTGGCGCAGATGTATCCACACCTTTGTCTTGACTGCTGTACTGAATTCAGTACTCTTCCTCTCTTTTACTGCCTTTTGTTGCCTTTGACTGACTTTCCTTTCGTTCTTCTTTTTTCATCTTACTACTTTGTTAATTGTTGTGTTGATATGAGGTGTGGCACCATGAACTGTTGTGCAGTAATGCTTGGTCGTGTTGATACTGATTGATTCGACTTGATGTAAGCTGTCACTTACAAAGCTACCAAAGGAAAGGTTTGTGAAGTGAAGATATGCACCAAATGATAATTGTTAAAGGTTACCAAATAAAGATCACAACATAACCTACAGGATGTGGTCCAACGGATCATTTAATTGGGTGAGATAAAGTTTCACCTTACCTTTTGAATTAAACTGCAAGCCAATGACAATCCCACTATTGTCTGTCTAATCGGTCAGTCAATATTGAAATAACACTTCACATTAATGTATAACTGTTCAGGTTACCATACCTCAAATCAGCCTACAAAGATACACCACAATGAGCGAAAAGAGTCACGAAAAAAGTAACCAAAAACCATGGAAAATCATAAAAAGAGAAGAAAAAATGGTGAGGAAGATGACAAAATGTGATATGGTGGTTAGAATGAAGACGAAGTGTAGATACATCTGCTCCACTGTAATCAGTTCTAAACCACATAACCTAGTCATCAACCATAGATTTATGTTTTCACTTGAACCACGCTAGTGGGAGTTTACATTTCTCCACATGGTTTCTAGCGGTTTTCACTGAAGAATCAAAATAGGACGAAGCAGTCAAGTTTTCACCAAATATCCTATTGTGACATTCCTTCTTAATAATCAATTACGCCTCCATTTTATCTTCTATAGCAACTATTTTGTTGTTCATTTGTCCTATAAGCATGATTTAAAACATAAAAGAGATGATATCTAAATGAAAATGGGGAAAGTTAAAAAGTTATTGCGAACTTAATTGTTTGACTTCAGTCAGAACTTAGGTCTTGACAGTTACACCAGTTACCATCCTCTGGTTGGTTATTGTACATAACTCTGTCCTTCATGGGGATCAGTCATGACCTGAAATTTCTAACTTTAACGCTCACTGACACAAGTTTAAGTCCCTGAGGGATGTTAATGTCTTCGAGTTTGCAGATAAATTACACTAACTGGTGCTAATAAATACAAGACCTAAGGTTAGGACTACCGGTTGTTCAACTGCTAGAATCGAACACTGAGATTAGATAATGGTTCTGAATTTTGTCATACATGCAAGAGTCTACGTATTTCAATCGTATCTTTTTCACACTGTGACATCCTAATATGCATAAGCTTGTGCAGTTCATAAGTTGAATAAATACATTACACATATCCTTCAGTTTGCTTAGATTGTGTGATGGTACAGTATCGCGGTGAAAGTTTTAAAATCAAATTTCATCCTTTACGGGTTCATAACCAAAATCAGCTTAAATGTTGCCTACAACCATTTGATTGTTGTTATGTTGGAATTTTTCTTTTGGTGTCTAGTATTTAGTATCTTTTCACTGACAGTGTTTTGTTTTGCTTCCAATGAATGTTTAACTAATTAAGGTTATTGAATTGATTGTGTCGGGACGTATTCAAGATGGAAAATTCGATGCTATGCTTCGTGATGCATTACACAAAAAGTTTGGTGATCTAAGTAATGCTGTTGGTCTGGGTGGGGTCATAGTTCAGGAGAAAGGCAAATCATTTTATCATGTTCTCGTAAGTTTGTTTTTTCCTTGTTACTATCACACATAAATATATATTTCTCATTAGGTATTTTGTTCACTCCCTTGTGAGACTGTGGCTCATCGATTTAGGCACTTGCTCCACCTACCAAGGCTATGGCAGGTAGATAGTTTCACCAACCCTCACGTAATAGGTATGACTCGTTGCTCAATGGTATACACATGCATATGGTTGCTGAGTGAGTTTTATTTTTTATCAATTCTCCCTCTTACTTTACCAATACAGAGTGGCTTTTACTGAATTTTTATCACCTAGTTCAAGTGTTTATTATAGAACTGAAATGTATTTACATTAAGTGATACTATAAAGGTGATTATACGATCCATCGTTCAGTGATCAACACGTTCAGCCACTGGTTTTCAATGTTGGGCAAGAAATTTCAATCCACTGATATGCGGTGATGATTGAAGGTGGAATGAAAATTTGTATCGTAGGGAGATTCGAACCAGCGATATTCAGAATACTGGAAACTACCAGGTCCCGATTCAAGCACTTGGTAGCTAATCACACCTGTTTTGTGTAGCCTAATGATTGTATTTGGTCGCCCAGACGTTGGCTGTAATGGAACGGAGTTAAAGCTTGTGACCCACTAGTTAGAAAATGAGTACCTAAACTAATATAGATGTAAAACTTGGGCACTGTCGCAGAATTTAGTTCGATGTTAGATTTGTTTATTTGACTTATGACACACAGCGATCTAGTATTATTTACTTGATGACAACGTTTCGAGCATAAATTATCATTCCTCATAATTATATCAATGTAATCACACAACTTTACGACATTTGATTTTTGTAGTTACGTCACCTCGTGTTAAAATTTTCCATATCTCTGGTATAGGTAAGTGTTGGGTCACTTCTATTACATGTGTTGGATGTTACCAGATTCGATGAACAAAGATTCAGCAATCACTCTCTGTCTCTCCACCTAATTATATTGGACTTCACTACAGTGGCTTTATTCCACTCTATTGTATGGTTGTATGTTAATGTATGCATTGCAATAGGAGAGTGTTTTTCTAGATTATTGATCTTATTCAGGTCTGTTATTCTATATTTAGTTGAATTCCTATGTTTGGTTATTCTGACTGACCCTGACTTACTAGTTTGATCTATGTACTTGACCTAACTCACAGTCATTACATTGAATTTGATAGATTAGATAATTTTGCTGAATTGGTTCTATCGGGTCTTTAAGCCAGCCGACGAAGCTTATCTGTGAGTGAGTTTGTGGGTTTGAATCCCACCCTAATACCAGCTTTGTTGAGAATCATACGTAAAGTTTCTGATGTGCCTTCTTTCCTTATAGGGTAACACAATGGAAGCTGTGAACTCGTTTCTACTTGTGCTGTCGTAATTGTTGGTACTCGTGTTACTGTTATTTTTTCGTTTCTTGTGTGTCCGTAGGAATCCCTCCATAAACTGTGGAGGATAATTATTAATTATTAGGGCTTATTTTACGTGTTTCAGTTCCTTGTCCTGACTAGTCAGTTTTCTAGTTCTATCACTTAGACATTTGACTAAGCCTGCCTTAACTGACATTGTATGAGATGACTTGAAGTCTCGATACATGTTGGAATGTATCGGTTTTCTGTAGATAGTAGTATCTAAACCGCCGTCTGTCTTTCGTTTTATCTTGCAACATCAGTAATTCTCCTTTTTCATTTTCTATCTCATAAGTGAATTGCATTGTCAACTTAAGGATCCGATAAAACCAGCTCAACAAAATAACCTAATCTATCTAATTCCATGTAATGACTGTGAGTTAGGTCAAGTACATAGATCAAACTAGTAAGTCAGGGTCAGTCAGAATAACCAAACATAGGAATTCAACTAAATATAGAATAACAGACCTGAATAAGATCAATAATCTAGAAAAACACTCTCCTATTGCAATGCATACATTAACACACAACCACACAATAGGGTGGAATAAAGCCACTGTAGTGAAGTCCAATATAATTAGGTGGAGAGACAGAGAGTGATTGCTGAATCTTTGTTCATCGAATCTGGTAACATCCAACACATGTAATAGAAGTGACCCAACACTTACCTATACCAGAGATATGGAAAATTTTAACACGAGGTGACGTAACTACAAAAATCAAATGTCGTAAAGTTGTGTGATTACATTGATATAATTATGAGGAATGATAATTTATGCTCGAAACGTTGTCATCAAGTAAATAATGCTAGATCGCTGTGTGTCATAAATCAAATAAACCGTTTTAATATGATTGTCTAAACCAATGACTAACCGTTTAGAACACACAGTATGCATACTTGGATACTTGACTCACAGTTTACTGGGAGTTACGCAGTATAGCTACAGAGTTATTTTTCTTACTGGGTAGCCTATGGAAAAAGTGTTCTTATGAGGATAAACCGTTTGTGATCAGGAAGATAACCGAAAATTATGGTCGGAGCATTCAGAGAATACACCTGAGAATCTGTTGTTTTTGTGGTGCCAATACTTTAATACTTTACCTTAAACCCCTTAATACCACATTTCGGTGTTCACTTTGTTGTATTACTTTTTATTTTTGCATTTTCATATTATTTTATACTTTGTTGTACTGATGTGAAGTATGTGGCACCTTGGACCTCTATTACGCACCAAAAGCAGGTCCTATTATTAAGTTTATTTGAAAGTATTTCAGGAAAACGCCCCTCCCAATAAATAGCAGATACCTTCGTATGAAAGTAAGTCAGCAAACTGATGAATGTTAGGTATTTATTTATCCAAAGGTACTTACCAAGAACGATCATGATATTCTATCTGGAGGTTTGTGGAGATTTGGGTTGGAATTCATCATTGATTGACATCAGTTAGAGAAACATTGGAAACCTGGGAGTACTGGACAGCTGTTTCATCCCGCTATGGGACTCCTCAGCAGAAGTAGGGAATATAGACCACTGAATGCCCACTTAGTAGCTCAGTGGTAACGCTCTGGCCACGGAACCTGAAGATCCTCGTTTCGATCCTTGGTGGTGTGGGGTCATAAGTAGGCACTGCTAGGACGAGTCAGCTGTCCAAGGTTCCCAGGTTTCCAATGTTCCTTCATTGGTTGTCAGTGCGTGATGAATTCCAATCCAAAATCAATTGATAAGTCTCTACAACCCTCCAGATAGAATAAATCTAGCGCTCATTCGTGACCAGCTTCGAGAGGTGATTCAAGAAGTTCCATTGAGAAGTGACCAGTAGAGTCAACCAAGTCAAAGATAAGAATAGTTACTCAACAACGACATTGGATGTAGTTTGCGCTACATCGTGAACTTACAGAAGTAGGAAATATGGATTCCGCCGACCCAGTTGGTCAATGGTAATGCTCTGGTCCTGGGTTTGATCTCTGGTAGGTGGGGCGAAGTCATGGGTGCATACTGCTGAGGAAACCCCATTCTAGTCAGATGAGGCAGCTGTCTAGTGCTCCCAGGTTTCCAATATTCCTCCAACTGGTGTCAGTCCAAGATAAATTCCTACCTAAAATCGTGATATTGTCCAGCAGTCATGTGCAAGTTTTTCCTCAGTATTAAATTGTGAACAGGCAAAGTTGCTACCCATTTATCCAGTCAGACCGATGTATATCTCGAGATTGTCATTCCATACTTGAAACTCAATTTCCATTTCGGCCACCTGAAATAGCCGTAGTTTAGCATACTTATTTGTATTGTTACTGGGTGGTGATTGAAGGTGAACTGAAAATTTGGGCCACAGGAGGACTCGAACCGGTGACCACCAGGTTTCCGACCTGATACTCTGCCAGCTGAACTACAACACCCAAATGCTGACCAGATTTTTATTTCACTGCAACCACCAATAGTTTTGCCCAAATGCTATGTGGATCCTTGATACGTTACTATCTAGGGTCGCTGATTCGAACCCTGCTGCTGCCCAAATTTTTATTTCACCTTCAATCATCACCCAGTATCAATGAAACTCAATTGTTAAAACCAACACACCACTGCATAATGATTCTTAATGAACGTCTTCAAAATAAATGTATTGGCGATTATCCAGTCGGCCACAATGACTCAGAAGTATTCACTCTTGAACGTCTTCTAAAGCTTGAATGTTACTGACCATCCTTAGTTTTTAAATTCCTTATCCTCCCGTACACTTTTGTCTACTTTCATATCATATCTGTTCCCCGCATGCAACTATGAAGTGTGGCAACTTGAGGTGATGCACTTGTCTGTGAGGTTCTTCATTGTTTTTGTTTGTCTGTCTATTTGCCTTGTTGGAAGAAAGAAAAGGTACTTGACGGTTGGAAGAAGGGCTACCTTGTCATACTCGCAAAGAAGGGCGACCTAAGTCTTTGCGAGAACTGGTGTGGAGTCAGCAGAGATCGTCCAATTCGATATACCGAAATAAGCAACAGGAAATTAAAAGTATGAGTCACTAACGACTGATATAGGCTGCGAAACGAGTCAGCGGATTGTTGAATAAAAAGCAATCTGGTCTTTGCGTGAACTGGAGCGAAATCATGCTCCTGTCCACACCAATCAAAATATTAGGCCTCATCATCCTGGAGAGACTAAAAAATACTCTCGATTGAAAATTACAACCGAAACAGACTGGCTTCACGACAAACAAATCAGGTGCCGATCGAATTGTAACACAACACAATGCTACGCTACGCATCATCGTAAAACAGCATAGAATGCCAGTCAACTATTCACCTGAACTTCATCGACTTTGAAGAGGTGTTCGATCGAGACGTCGACCGAGAAGTAATTTGGCCGGCAGATGCTTCAACACTACACAGTGAGTGACACAAACCTTTATCAACCTTATTCAACAGCAGCTATATGCTATATGATGATGCTACATGCCAAGTGATTGACAATGGAAAGTTCAGTGATGTGTTTGAAGTGAAGACAGGTTGACAGGTAAGACAAGATTGTCGCCTACAATCACCGATGATCTTCCTGATTGTGGTCGACTTGACTGGATCATGCAACTGAAAACAGTGAGGAGCTGTTAGAAGATAGGCATATGCTCTGTTTGACCGATGAGAAGACCATCGAAGATTTGGATTTCGCCGATGATGATTTATGTCACCTGTGAATGTCAATGTCGTCGAAACTGGATGATGTACAGGCGAAAACTGACAAGTCTAGAGAAGAGGTAGAGTAGGGCGGGGCAGGACAGGACAGGGCATCGAAGAAGGGACTTGGTTGAGGTGAACGTAGATAAGACAGAGGTGATGAAGATACCCAACCACGACCAACAACAACGAGCACCAATGACCATGAACGGGAGGAACCTAAAGGAGGTAGTCTCTTTTACGTACCTAGGAGGTATCGTTTCAACTACAGGCGGCACAGGCACAGATGAGGATGTCAAAGCCAACCAACCAGCCAGCCAGGATCAGAAAGACAGCAAGACAGGCCACGCTTCATCAATCTGAAATCAGCGTAGAGATCCACTGCACTGCACTGCACTCAGCATAAATCGTGAACAAGATGCGGATTTCCAACACTGATTCAATCAAATCAGTGGTTGTATGTGATTGTTGAGAGAGTTGGCGTGTTATGAAAGCATTTCCAACAAACTACAGACATTCATCGACAGCTGCCACCTACGCTCACTCGATGCTGAAGATCAGATCAGATGACCAGAATGATAAGAATAAGCTGCAAGGAACTGTGACCTGGCAATGAACCAACCAACAACCGATCACACAACAAATATGCAGATGGATTAGACATGCATTGGAAAGATGGTTTGGGGACATCACGCGTCAAGTCAGACCATCGAGTGGAACCCGCATGGGAAACGACGAGTTGGGCCTCTGAGTGTGACATGGAAGAGAGATGGTGTGAAGAAGATATGATGGCTTCTGGGCAGTGGTGGAGCCAGACTGCAGAGAAGAGAGTGAAATGGCTATGTGCTACTGAAGTCCTTCATTCCTGTAGTAACCTAAAGGAAAAGTAACTCATCATAAAATTCCTTTGAACTTCATTAGTTTAGGCGAAATTCATTTAAAATCGTTTGAGTCCTGTCGTATCCTTTATGTAAACAAATAATGAAGAGATTATGGATTTTTAACGAGGTGTCATTGATGTGTTAGACAACCGAAATCGATGGTTGAAAACCCTAGATAAAATGTCTAAGAATTCATCTCATTTTTGCATTCATTCTTCATCCTAATCGTCATAGTTCGCTTCGTTACTTACTTTGCACCCTCTTCTTTTCTTCTACGACGTTTGATTTCACTACTTGTATTCACTATCTTTATATTATCTTAGTGTGCTGATTTGATATGTGAGAACATAGACTGTTATGCAGTACTATTCAAGTGACATGTTGATATTGACTGACTGAGATTCGTGTTGGTAAAGAAAATATTCAAATAGGAAAGTTGATGAAACCTATATCCATTGTGTTAATCTTTGATAAGTGTTTGTTTATAGTTCTTTTCTGTTCCAGCTATTGACTCAATGGTTAACTGTATGACGTTTAGGATGATGGTTCCTTGATCCTAGGTCTCAGTGAGAATATCATAACCCCACTGGATTTTCAAACACATCCAACTGATGTGTTCCCAAATGGGATGAAACACCTATCTCTCATTCCCACTACCTATGACTTACGTCGAAATAAACTTCAAAGCAATTTTTGTGGTATCCTTTCTAGAAGTTGATCTATCAAATGATCCAGTAAAACGACTCAATTGTGTTGAACCTCTTTAGCGAGACTGTCTTGTTGAAATAATGGGTACTATGAATGTTTGGCTTGAAGCATAATAATGACTTTACAGTGTTCTACACTTTTTCCTTTTCAGCCAGATTTCGTAGAAGAACCTCTTGACTCAGGTGATAAAGTTCGAAATTGGATCAAAATGTTTGAAATGGATTCACCGGTTATTTCAGTTGGAATTGTAGTATCCCATGATCCTGTAAGTTGCTACTTTTTTTTCAAAAAAGGTTATATGTTTTGTGTTATTTGTCAACAACGATACAGTGAATATTCTTGGGGAGTTACAAATTTCTTAGTGTAGAATAGAAATATTTATTTATTTATTAACATTCTGGATATTGTAGGCAAAAAAGTAGGTTATGCATTGTAAGAGAATACCGATAATATTTTACTGTAAAACCTTTCAGAAATTACTTTATTCACCAAAGGATAACCATTTGAGCCATCTATGTACTAAAATATAAAAACACAAATAACTTGACACTATCATATATTAGTCCACGCTACTGTGTCACGCTTTCTAGCATAATAAGACGGAGGTTTAAAGGGAATAAGACTGAGGTATGACGGAAGCTGAACAGCATATACTTTGATCGTACTAAACTTTAGTAATAACCAATGAGATTCAAGTATGCACTGACCAGTGAGAATCAGGCATACGTTGGGTAGCGTAATTGTCAAGAAAAATAGGACTTTATTGACAATTTATAAATCTCAACGTTATCGCTTCTGAATATATAAATCAAACACAGGCAATATCAAGGCATCCACGCAGGAGCCTCTATATCAGTAGACACTGATCACAATCCGGCCCACTCAACGACGGGATAATACAAGCTACAAAATTAAAACTATACCTGTTGCATAAAAGTGGTTATCGTTCTGGCGTTTGAAGTGATCGGTCTCGAGTTCAAGTCCTAGTGCGAAAAACATCCTTCACTGGGAGGCAGGTACATTCAACTGACGAGTTCAAAATAGGACGAAACGCGTGTCAAGTTGGGTCTCACTGTTAGCTACTGTTCATCGTTACTATATGATTCATAAAACTTTTGCATGTGAAATAAAGACATTCAAAATTTGAGTAGGTTTTGTGTTACCACTCATCCATAAGAGACCATATTATATCCTCCTGTGATCTTGTTGAAGGTATTCAGAACTTTCTAAGATGACCTCAAATATTTTCCAACTTAGTTTCTGTGCACTCCAGCACTCAGACGAGCGAAGTGCTCTCTCTGAACAATGTGATGGGTGTAACCCATTGCAGATAACGGCATATACGGTTTCCTAGCTTATATATATATATATATATATATATATATATATATATATATATATATATATATATATATATATATATAACTCTGTGGCAGCTATCTTCATTAGGGTTATCTTCTGGTGGAGAAGACGCTTTTCACCTTTGAAAGTTGCACTAGAAATAGTGATTGAACTTTACTTCCAAACCTACAGAGCGCTTTTGTATAAGATGTAAAAGTCGCACAAAACACCACTCAGAGTGATGTGGTTTCTCGTAGAAAGTTAAGCACTATACTTGTTGTAACCATATTTTGCGGTGCTCACTGCTTAAAATACAACTGCCTCAGTGGTTTAGGAAGACGATGTAACCGATGAATAGCGGGTTCGAACCCCACCGCCTACCGAGGTTTAAGCAGCCAGGTAGTATCACTAGCTCTCATACACGATAGGTGTGGCTCATTGGCTATTGCACTAATGTTCACAAGGCTGGTGGGTGCATTTTGGTTTTATTTTCACGTCAATGAAATGGGCCACGGCTGAAAGAAAGTGTGGTTTTTAGGCAGAATGATTCTTCTTTTGAAAGTTTATGGATGCATTAGTATAATTTCAGCAGATACTTGACAACATGACTAAGAAAACAGATGTGTTGGATATTTAATTCAGTGACAGATAGAATCAACCTCGCACATAAGGGCATCACCTCAAGTTATCACCTCACAGTTCACAGTTGCATACAAAGAACAGGTGGATAGAAAAGGAGTGGTATCAAAGTAGAAAAAGTCTTGGAGAGAATAGACAGTTTGAAGACAAAGATTAGTGCGAATATTCACGTTTTAGCAGATGTCAAGGAGGGAATACATCTGAGCCATTGTGATGAATTTTCAGCCGTGTCACCAAGAGATCTCAACCACTGATTCCTGTCGTTTCCTGAACCCTAGCAAAGTATGTAATTTATATTTTCACACACTGCTCAAGCCAACAGTCAGGGGCTTCATCGACTGGCACTACGTCTTGGTTGGACCACTCTGAGCCTTCTCCAAACCTAGTCCAGCTTCCGATGGTATCGCGTATTGAGGTAGGAGGTGGCTCGGTATTCACGACACATGTTGAAGCCGATGAAGGTTGATACCCTCATCAATAAACTTGCCTATCTTGCCTAGTACTCTTCGCCTGACTTCACCATTGCTGACATAGTGATTCCGCCGTACCAGAGCGACTCTGCAAAGACACCTTTGATCGTTGAGCTCAGTAGTTTTTAATCTGTGAATAGAGAAAATGTAAAAGGCAGTACGAAAGAAGAAAGATATAAGTTATCAGACACTAAAGTACGATTTTGGCTGACATGCAGTTTCAAGGTCGAATTGGGATCAAGATTGTAACACAGCTACCATCATCGTTGAACTAGTAGTACAATCTATCTCTCTGTCATATAAGTAAATAGTTCAAATGTCATGTCTCCATAGGTTCGTTTACTATCGGAGTTCGTGGTTTGTGCGTTTTGTCCTACCAATACCTTCTACTTTGATGTGCCAGTCACGTTTGCGTGTCACAACAACTCACCAAGCTATCCTGATGCGAACGTTTGTTCCTTTAAGGTTTACCATATCAGACACGTAACCTCGCCTGGCTAACTAATTCACTAGTTACTAGTTGGTCCTAAGCCCGGGTAAAGAGGAAAGGGTGGGGTAGGGCTAGCAACCCTACCCCGTAAAACAAATCACACCGCTAAAGAAACTTCAAGGCACAAACAACATAAAAAATAAAAACAAAATTATTTCTCGCTGGAATCGGAGAGGCGAAATGACGCCGGTTGGTGAAAGCATTCGGGAAGCCAATTGGCCGATGTGTCTTCTCACAATGAAAGCGAAAGTAAACGTGGGGACATGAAATGTCCGCACGACGTTTGAACACAGCAAGACAGCCCAGATTAAAAACGAGATGAGAAGGTATCACATTGAAGTGTTAAGAATTCGCGAAAGCAGGTGGGATGGAAGCGGACTCTTCAAACTGTCAACTGGAGAATCAATAATCTACTCCGATATTGTCACCCAGACGACAACCACGAGTACACTCAGTTTTGAAGTGGCTATCATGATGTCCATTTCTACAGCATCGAAGGCTCTCATACCATACAGTGGGAACCAATCTCCTCCTGCAGAATCACGATCATGACAGCAGGGTTCAACTGAAAAGGAAGGAAGGAAGGTCACAATCATACAATGCTGGGCTATGCACCAACAAATAGTGTAGAGCAAGAGAAGGAGAAGGAATTGTACAGACAACTGCAATCAACACTGGACAAGACCCTAACCGAGTGGGCGATATCAAAATTCTGATGGGTGGGTTGACATGAATGCGAAACTGGGAGCAGACAACACAGGAAGAGAAGTAACCATGGGTGGAGAAGCACTCGGTGAGGTGATGAACGAGAATGGAGAATTGTTTGCAGACTTCTGCGCATTCAACGATTTGGTGATTGGAGTGAGGCAGTGTGTTCAAGTGTGCACAAGGATATCCACAGAGCGGGCGACATGGATTTCACCAGACACCTGGACACACTGCACTGAAAATCAGATCGACTTTATCTGAATGTGAAGAAAGTGGAGACGCAGCCACCCTATTTGACACAAGGTGAAGAAGAGGAGCAAATGTAGGTTTACATCACTGACTATCTAGTACAAGGAACCTTCGAAATCGTGTTGAAAGCCTTCACAGAAGTTGGTGATAGACGACCACAGCTGAAGTTGAACACCCAGAAACTGAAGGACAAAACTACAAAGGAAATCTTCACGGCAGCCAGTCACCAAGACAAAATGGGAGATATCGAGGAAGATCCGTGAAGAAACCTGTGTGGAAGAACACTGGAAGTCTTTGGAAGCTATGTGGAAAGAAACCTGCACAAGCGTATTAGGAATGAAGAAGAAAGAAGATTGGGAATGGATCTCAATGGATACATGGAAGCTGATAGAGCATGGAGAGGAGGGAGAGGAGGATGGTGAGGCAGAAGATAAACCAGTGCAGTGCAATGACAACCAGTGCTCAACGACAAGAGTAACTGAGTACAATGTATAAAACACTACACTGGACAAAGAAGTGAAGAAGAGTGCACAGGAAGACAAAAGACACTTGTAGGAAACACTGGCAAGTGAAGCAGAACAGGCTGCCGGCTGGCTGGTAGGAGAGACAGAGACCTGACAACATTGTATCAAATAACCAGGTTGCTATCTGTTATGGAAGAGATCAATGCAGACGAAACCAATAAAAGATGATGATGGAAATTTAATTACGAAAGAGGCGAAACAAAGGAAACGATGGGGTGACCACTTCAAGAAGCTCTTGAATTGACCACCACCACCACCTGCTCCTCGTCCAGAAATACCACCTACAGCCGAGCCACAGAACTAGTCTCTTCTACCTACCTAGGAAGTATCGTTTCAACTACAGGCGGCACAGGCACAGATGAAGATGTCAGAGCCAACCAGCCAGCCAGGATCGGAAAGACAGCAAGACAGGCCACCCTTCATCAATCTGAAATCAGTGTAGCGATCCACTGCACTGCACTGCACTCATTATAAAGCGTGAACAAGATGCGAATTTTCAACACTAAGTCAGTCCAGCAACTCACTGGTTCTATGTGACGGTTGAGAGACTTGGCGCGTCAAGTAAAGCACTTCCAACAAACTACAGACATTCACCAACAACTACCACCTAAGCTCACTGGATACTGAAGATCAGAAGGCCAGAACAATGAGAATAAGCAAGAGGGAACTCTGGCTGGCTGGCAACGAACCAGCCAAGAAGCTATCACTCAACAAATATGCAGTGGAAGGAAGTGGCGATGGATTGTGCATACATCGAGAAGGCCGAATGGGGACATCATGTGCCAGGCCAGTTGCTCGAGTGGAACGCAGATGGAAAACGACGAGTTGGGCGTCGGAGGTGAGG